CTGTGGGCAATGTCCGTGTGACAGGGCCCCTAGCCCAGAAGTAACTAGGAGGGGGTATTGGTGATGAAAAGCTCGATGAAAGGACAACGAGACAAGGACTTCCTTGAGGTTGTTGGTTCACCACCTTGGTTAAGCTTGGATGTCGATGTTGGGCACTTGGAGCTGACTTCCTCCTTTTCCTCTTATCCTCCTCCTCCTCCTCCTTCTTCTTCTTCTTCTTCTTCTTCTTATTCTTATTGCTCTTCTTCTTCTCCTCCTTGCTCTCCTACTTCTCAATATCTCCTTCTTCTCATTCTTCTCCGATTTTTGCAGCTTTTTCTTCATTCAGGTCTCTTTTTTTTTTTTTCTTTTTTTTTTTTGCTCTTCCTTTTTGCTGCTCTTCGCCTGTATTTTGCATTTGCCATACTTCGATATTTGAAGAAACAGCGAGAACTGACCGAAGTTTTTAAGAAACCCTTCCATGTGGATGCTTCCCAAAGACGGATTCCTTGATGAACAGCTTGGCAATAACAGGAACTTTTTGTTGATAGCGGTGTGCTCGGTCTTCCTTCAATACCCCTCACACAATGAACAAACCCGCCGCAGCAACAAACAAAACATAACCCAACAGAGATTTTCGGAACGCCTTTTCTCTTAACCATCCACACGCCCGTGTTTGACCAGGTTTGGTTTTCCTCCTCTTGGACACTTTCCATCAACGCATCGAAGTCAGTTTCATCCACCAAGGCCGACGTCGATAGACGGCGGCTCATGCAGCTGATTTGCAATATGGTAATCAATGGTGGAAGTGTTCTCTGCCGGTGTCTAGGGCTTAGTTGTCCGCTTTGCCGGCGGCGCCGACGCGGACACGTTTGGAAGAGTGTGCTGGGCTGGTTGGGCTGGCAGCTCTGCTTGCTGCGCGGACGCTTCTTGCTGCGCATGGTGGCCCTGCTGCGTTGATTCCCTCAGAAGCATGTGCATTGCTGCTGGTGTAGCAGCAGCTTGCGGAGATAGCACGGAAGGGTTTTGCGGGATTGGACGCTTCATCTTGCCATCTTCAGGTGCAAAACCCGGGAAATAATGCGGCACCTTGCGCCGACCTCCCGTTCTGGCCAGATAGATGAAGCCTTTCCCGCAGGAGAGTTCCCAGCGACGCCAGTGAAGCTCCTCAACAACTCGCCAATAGATGTAGTCTGACATCTCAGGAATCTCCGCCAGCATCTTCTCGACAAAAGCCAAACACTTCCTGGCCCAAATGTCGTCGGCGAAGGGTTTAGGAGGCTTTTTAACAGGGCCGGCCTTCTTGCCAGGGCCAGTAGGATTCGCAGCGCTGGCTCTGTAGTACTCTTTGTCTTGGTCCCAGTACAGTGCGCCCAGAAGAAGCTGCAATGGGGTGCAATTCTCAATATCCACGGCCAGAAGCTCTTCAGATGCACAACGCCGTAGGAGGTAGAAGAGGACATCGTTTTGTTGATCAAAGGCCCGGTCGATGTCCTTTGTAGGCTTTCCCTCCACGTACCAGAGCTTTTCGTCAAAACTCTCGATATTCAGGGCAATGTGCAGAGCGGTCTGGCGTCGAACATTGACGATTCTGGTCTTGTGGTCGTCCGGCATCAATCCAAGCCAGATGTCCAAGGCGGTCGTGTTCACATGCCGGTGGCGTGCTAACAAGGTTAGCACAGTCTCAGTGAGAAAGGGTAACGGAGCATGAAGTCCTCTCCAGTCATAGTGACGGACTTGATACTTTACGAGCTCTTGGAGAAGCTCGGTCTACCATTTCCTCCCATTCGCCGGATCATCCTCGGGGTGTCGGTCGTTAGCAAGCTTGCAGTTGCAGCGGGTTCCGACAAAGCATGCCTTGATCGAGTACTCACGGCATTTTTTGTTCATGAACGTGAGATTGGATTGAGTGTGTCTGGCGAGGATCGGGCTGTAAGGACATTTCTTCGGAAATAAGGCTAGCTGGATTGCCGCCAGAACCTCGACGGTCTCCAGCGTTCCGTCACAGGCTCCTGCCCTCAGCAGAATGCTCGCGAGGGGCCAATCGGACTTGATCTTTCTGCCTTGTCGGTAGCCTGCGATGAGTTGAAGTATGAGGTGAACCATGTTTTGCCGTCCTGGGACGTCTCGCACGGTTGTCCTTGCGCCTAGTCTGACGACCTCGGCGATTGCCTTCTCTATGGGCTTTCGCGTATGCGAATTGGAACCAGGAAGGTAGCACAGCCTTCGAAGGGTGGGCTGTCCAACAGGGTCCGTTGACCAGTTGGGGACGTCATTAACATGACAACCCGCGTTGACATCCACTCCCGCGCGAACGATAAGCTCCAGGAACTTCCACATACCAAGATGAGCTGCTATGACCAAGGCTGTCTCCTTTGCATGTTTACCAGTTCCGGGAGGAGCCCACAGAGGCGAGGCACTATGTCGCAGCAGAACTTCGGCAACATCTTCACTTTTTGTCTTGAACGCTGTGAAGAGCGGAGGGCGCGGGAGCGGATCGTTGTCATCTTTGAGGACAAGAAGCCGTCTCTGGGGCAGACGACTGTGGGATCCGCTCCGTTTTGCAGGAGGAACTTAGTCGCTTCAACTTGATTGAACACGGCAGCAAAATGCAAAGCCGTCCAGGGAGCCCTTTTCTCAGGTCGGGGGCATGGTCCCTGCTCGTAGGCAAATATGTTGAACCCGGTGTCGTCAGAGCCGCGGAAAGACACTCGGCTCATATAAGTTGTGGTAACGTTCACTGCGTTGGCAAGTGCAAATTCTTTGACTCTGTCCTTAAAAAGGCTCGACCTGGGAGGCCAGATAAAGACTTGGTTAATGTCAGCATTGTACTGGTTGATTGCGAACTCCATGGAGCGGATTTGGCCGGTAAAAACACCCCATAACCGGGCTTGCGGGTCGAGGGTCTGGGAATCCCTCTTGTACAGCTCCCAGTTGCAGACGGTATAGCTCGCCTTGCATGTCCGAGCTAGATGGTTCAGCCCGGAGTCTGTCAGATGGTCCACGACCATGCGCATCACATCATCGGGGAGGTCGATAAACGTTAGTGGTCGCGCCTCCGGTGGGAGGGTGAGAGATTGCTCAGTAGACGAAGACATCTTGGAGACGGATGGTGTTCTGGACACTCAGGGGTCTTCTGCCAGATACGTCCATTAGTTGCGCTTCAGAGACCTTTCCATGAGCTGTTACTCCTTCATGGTACTTACCGTGGGACGATGACGTTGATGGGCTGGTGTTGACTTCCTGTTGAGGAGGGATGGCGAATAAAAACGATGAGGCCGATGAGGTCATTCGGCTTTCTGGTTCCAAAACTGAGGTTGGTCGTCGCTTCCAGCAATGACCTCTGGAATGCGGGGACGGAGGACCAGAGGTGGAAAATGCTGAGAAAAGAGGAGGTCCAGTGGGAGAGAAAGAGTATTGACTCGGCGGCAAGATCAGCAACATGCAGGCTCGAGTCAAAATCCCGTTTATGGGTAGGCATTGAATGGCCCCTCCCCATGTTCAAACACATGGGACATCCACATATAACCGCCGCCGACGAGCTAGTTGGCTATCGATAGGACCCGTGCCGGTCTAGTGAGCCGTCACCGCTTTGCCCTGCGGGTAGGTACTGGCATTATCATGGAAGGTCAAGGAAGAGCCGACCGAGAGGCAGCGGGGCATTGACCAAACTTCTGCGGGAAAGTTCGAGCGGCTCTCCTACTCCCAGCGACCAGGCCTCTTGCCAGTTTGGTAAGAATTCTGCAGACTTGGATTCAAACATCTCGGGTCTCCTTGGTATCATGACCGTTGTCGCAGCTCCTTCAGACCGCCAGGAGCGCAATACAAGCATCTCTTTTACCGGAACACTCCATGGCATCTAACTACATACAGTGTCCCTGTTCACACCTTGTTTCCTGGACCATGTTATCCCGGAATTATTTGTTCTTAAAAACATTCTTTGAGCACTTGGGTCTTTTTATCAATGAGACTAGCAATGACCCCTCCCGTCATTCCATCTACCTTATTTGGGCGCCTCAGCAAGATGCCGTCAATCAACCTGGGTGCCAAAGGGCTAATGTCTGGAAGCCAAAATGTGCCCCTTTCCTTTGCCTTTTCCATCTTCCGTTTAACTTGAACATTGCACGGCAACAACTTTTCTTTGAGTCTTCAGAATTCATTTGCTACCCATTATTTACCCGAGACTCCCTCCAAAATCTGGCTCTGTGTCTGGAACTGCTCCAAAGCATCCAAACTGGGATCAGGGTACTATCTGCAACTTGCTCCCATCCCAGCGATATGCGATCATTGTCAGAATGGATGAATATCCTGGAGAGAGAGGGCCACATTACTTTTAAACAATCATCTATTGTCCATACAAGCAAAGACCTCCGCTAATGAAGTACGTCGAGCAAGTCGCTCGAGACAGCGTCCAAACTCGTACCGGAGAGAGAATGCCTGGTCTTCTTTCAAACACTCGATCGTCTTGCCAGGCACCTACAGGGTCTCGTACAAATAGGAAGCGATACCGTGACCTGCCCGACTATTATTATTGATACATCGAGTAGGTAGTAAATATCAAGGCGCAAGTGTCGCTGAAGAGCCAATAACTGGCCGTCGTGCAAGTTGCGTGTACGTGCTTCAAGCTCCAAGACTCTTTCTTCGGCTTTTCCCTCCTCGACCATCGTCTCATCGTGTAACATGTTGGTTTTTTGTAAACACACTGGATGCTCTGGCTTCAGCCCAGTTGACTCCAGGGAATTGCTACTGACCGGCAAGAGCGTCAACTTCTATGTCAAACACAACTGTGGGAACTTTGCAATAGAACAGTGTCAGTGGATTTCTGGACTTAGTTTCGTTGGGACTGGCCATGGAAATTGTCCTCAAAGACCATGACCACCAGGGGCTACAAGGAACCATGACATTTGCACTCGATCTATCTTGCTTTTTCCTGGACATGTGTCTGCTGGCGGAACTGGAACAAGCATCATGGCGGTCTTTCACGTCTTTGTGTGACTTCGACTTTTCATAAGATACACATTTGCATTCAAGAATCACGGGGCGCAGAGCATTAACTTCATAGAGATTCTGTCTTTTTCCCTTTTTCATAGTTTTTTTGTTCTTCACCTCTAAGAAGGTTGACATGCTGTTTCCTGATGTTTCCTCTCGCCAGAAAAGTCCGGATACTCATGCTCTTGACCCATGACCATCGCCATTTTACCCTCCATCTTAAACAGCCGGCGCAAAGCTGTGATCTTGGCAATGACTGTGTTGTAAAGCTTCTCTCGCTCCGGAGTAAGATCCAGAGTCATGGATGACAGATCCGTGTATGCTTCCTGTTCATGCCGACAGAAGGCATTCTCAACGAATCGTAAACGCATAATCTTTTCGGCATGTCCCATAGGTAGATGGCTGGGTTCCTGGAGCCATCGACCACGTCCTGCTTCTTCCAGATCTGGCGCACGACTTCGAAGACGCATTGCCAGATATCAACACCATCTTTTTTCACTGTCCCGAACTGATTGGCAGGCCAGGCAGCCACCAGGGTGCGCAGTACACTGTCAGGATCGTTGATAATATTGTTTGGCCAGTCTCTCATGCGACCCACAGCTTCCCAGGGCTTGAGGCGGTGAGTATACCTCTTCATGGCGCATTGAATGGCAGTATCACCATCAGCGTTGACTTTGGGGATGTCTGCGTCGAGCTCCACTAGACAACGGAGCATATCGCAGAAACGAGGGTTGTATCGGGCAAGAATGGTAACCGGCGTCTCAGGAATGTTGGGGAGAAAGGCGTTCAAGTCAACTTTGTAACGTCTGACGAGTAGCTCGACGAGTTCCTGGCGTATCGGGGCGTCGAGGTCGGCTTCTTGGAATGCTCGGTGGGAATCGCGATTCGCCCTGGGAAACCACGAATTTCTGGTCTCGGATGCGTCCCAGAGTGCCCTATTGAGCAAAACGGAGTCTTCATCATATTGCGCGTGGACAACATCGGTGAAACTAGGCACCCACTCAAGGACAGCCGGAGTGAGGGCGGCATGCAAAAGAATTCCAAGGTGGTTGGCGGTGAGGTTTTTGCACACTCTGAGGCGCAACAGCTCTATGGCCACGCTGCATCTTCCTTCAAACACGCACCGGACAAGGAACTTGAAATCTGTCTCATTTTGAGCATCTAGACGTGCACCCAAGCCTAACAGCTTCCGTATCGTCGCAAGAGGATAAGACAGAGTGCACATTGCCGCATAATGAAGCGGGCTCTGGCCGGTTGCATCTGTAACATTGACAGGTATACCTGCCTCCTCCACGAAAAGTTGTACCAAATCAGCGCGGCCTGAAATGGCCGCAACATGAAGTGCTGTGATTTGGAAGCCACCAGCTTGCTGCTTCACTTGGTTGTCTAGAGGCGCATCGACCCATCCGTCGTTCTAGAATGGTGCGAGCTCTCCGTTGAATCTGGCCAGCTGGACCTCTCTATTTTCCTGGGCTGGTACTAACTCCTCGCCGCCCTGCATAGGTTCGAACCCGTCGCCGAGCTGAAGAAAGTCAAATAACTTGCCGAGTTGGTCAACATGGAAGTCGTTGTCAGGTATCCCATCGGATGGTAATCCGCGGAAAGAAGGAAAATTAACGTTCCTGGTAATCCGTGGGAGAAGCGCCGTAGCGAAGGAGGATCTTGGCGATGTCCTTTCTTCCATAACATACTGCTGTATGCATCGGGAGGCTCTGATGATAGGTCTCCAACAACATGGGGTGCCAACAGATTTCTCCGCAACCGTACACGGAGCATAGGCCAAAAGATCCTCTCTGCAAGGTCGCCAGGTTGCGTCTGATGAGCCACAGAGCTGCCTTTGGTCGGTTGGCAAGCACGGCAAAATGGAGGGGCGTACCCCAAAAGTATCTCTCGCTTGAAGTCTGTGGCCCATTCGGCATGTCGGCAAGCCTCATAAATGTTGCTGGGTCGGTTGGGCTCATGTCTAGAGTGTGAGACTCTAGTTCGCGGAGGAAAACTCCCTTCCGCTGCCCTGGCTGGCAGGTAAAATAAGATCTCTGGGTAACCGAGGTGCCATAGTCAACAGCTTTCTGCATCACTGATAGATTACCCGTCAGAGCTCCCCAAGATAAGGCAATGGGATTTTCAGACTCCGCATCTGCCTCGTAGATATTGTGGGTGCATTCGTAGCCGAAAAAAGAGCAAGTCTGTGCCAACGCAGCCAAAGTAGACATGTCGTCACTGAGGAGGTCCACGATCATGCGAACAAGCTCTACAGGAAGCTCAAGACGCGGAGATTGTTTGAGCATTGACGGCTGTGTATTGGTGACCATTGTGAAGGATTGTTTTTGGGTAAGAGTTGGTGAGTTGCTTGTTGGTATATAAACTGCCTTCCCTCTGATGTGTTAGTACCGACCCCTGAAGTCCTGTTGTAGAGAAAGACATACCGACTGCTATGTGTCTGCCACAAGATCTAATGAATGTTCTAGGCAAGAATCGTGATTTGTATAAAAGCGGCCTACGCCCCTTGGAACCATAGTCTAGGAAAAGACATACCTGTTGCTTCAGAAGAGCCAGGAATAATTATGAATACTCGGGAAAGGGAGCGAGATAAGAACTCCTGCTTGAGCAAGCCGAAGGTGGGCAAGTAGAGGGCTGCAGTTTGGTGCTGAGGATTAAGTTGAGCAGTGGGAAGAGGAGAGGGCAGAAATTGGGCGTGAGATCCAAGACTTTTTACCCCAGCGGTAGAGAAGCAGTGTGGCTCAGTGACCGCAATGTCTACTTTATCTGCACGTTAGCATGTCACCTTCACGGGGCTGCTTAGCTGCAACCTTCAGCAGATCTCGTAAATGAGTGGATCTTTTTAGGGAGTGAAGGGCTTTTGTGTTCGCACCAAGAGTGGTTTCCGCCCACCATGCTCCATTCACGGTCGGAACACAAAACCACAAGTTAGGCCGTCTGCGGGTCATGCGGAACAGTGAATCAAACCTTCGGGCAAGTGTCCTGAACCTTCTCGCTTGAGGCGATTGACACTCTCCACAGCTAGAAAAGTGACGGGTCTAAGAGACCAGATGGGAACGCGTGAATGTTACCCAGGGAGCTAGAAATGCTCTTCACCCACCACCGACACAAGACGAAATGAACGGAAGCAAGGCCCAACCTTAGAGAGAGTAAAGTGAATCAGAGAAGATCATCGCATGGTGAATAACGTGAGACCTTCACAATGCAGCAACGATAAACTCTGGACGTGCCGCTGCCAGGCACCTAGGCCCACAGTAAAGCAGAAAAAGGAGAAGTGAATGGTGTGGTATCATCAAATTGATCCGGAGCCACACACGTGAGGTCCTGGAGGTACTGTGTATGTAGAGGTCGTGGACTCTGGAGAGACTCCAGGAATGTCAAGGAAGAAGGATAGCCCGAACTGAGGAATTGAGTTCCATTCCAGTTCCTAAGGCTAGTTCCTAAGGATTTCACGGAACCCACGAGATCAGTGCTCCTGCCCTAGTTTGTTGAGACAGCGTCAGCATTTCTCATATTCTTAATATTTTTATCGTAGGATAAAGATAACACCGCGATATTGATGCTCGCGTATGTAATTCCACCCACAATGGTCAGCAAAAGTTACAATTTGCTTGTGAAAGAAACAAGTGTCCCCGTGGCTCGGTGATACATAGAACAATGCACCTTAAACGAATATAAGCGACTTGGAGCGGCGAGGTATAAAGAGATGTAGCCGTCGTTTATTAGCTCGATTGGAAGTCGGGTGATTTGCGTGGGGCAACGTCGAACGCTCTTGTCGTGTTCAAGTATTCTTCGTTCGTGGCGGGAGACTGTGGTCTCTGTCGTTTTCGGTCAATCTGACTGTCCTTTGACCTTGGGGGCATCCTGGAAATTACTTGTAGAAACCGCCGTCGTCCTGCTTCTTGTTGAAATTCTTCATGCTGCAGATTCTTATGCATTCGTATTCGTATTTGGCTCCGAGTTCGACTAGTTTAGTGATCACTTCGCCGTTGTTCGATTTGTAAAAAGGCTGATGTCAGGATAGTTCCTCTGCCACTGCCCTCTCGTTCGTTGATGTTCACATCCGGTTGACTTGCAATGAGCTCATGATAGTCCACCAACTAGGACCTTTACGAACTACCAGCTCAAGTAGAGGATTCCTTGAATCAGTGTATCTTAAATTGGTGTAGAGGAAGCCGGAGCTCCACTCCTTAGGAGGCGGATGTTTCCATTCGTAGAATTGTGCCTCGTCCCCCAAGGCTCCATGGAATTGGACGGAGGCGCCATGCTCTAGGAGAAGTCGAACGACATCCTGGCTTCCATGACAGGCTGCTGTATGAAGGGGGAGGTATGTAAACGCCCTGAAATCCTGGTCCCACTCATCCCGTGGCCGCCAGTAATCGTCTCCATATCGCATTAAGCAGGTGCACAATGCAATGGAAAAATTGCTTTCCACGCTGTCGTCATGGCTCGCACCGTTTTGAGGTAGAAACTTGGCCGTCTCATGATGGTTGATAATGGCGGCGTAGTGAAGCGGTGAGCCTTATCCCTCGCTCCTAGTTTCATCTCCTGGCCATAACTTGTTACATCCATTGTAACGTCCTGGTATGCCGAACTCGGTTTGACAAGAGGATAACAGCTCATTTTGGTAGCAGGTTAACCAATCGAGTGCCGTTAAATCAGCCCCAGCGACCACTGCCATCTCGATGACCCGAAGTTGGTTCGTGACGACGTCCCAAGTAACAAGTCCTCGCTTAGTCTTCGAAGGCACATGGTCCTTATAGACAATGGGGTTCGCGATACTGTATGCTCCCTTACAGGTTTTCCCAAAGCGGTTGGCGTCTCTGGTACCTAGGTATCGGGTAATGTGATTGACGGTCTCGACGGGTAGAAGATTCAGGAACGATACCATAGCCAAGTCGATGCCTATGAGCCGGTCACCGCTCAAATTCTTGCGGACCGGTAATGTGAAGCGTCGCGATCAAGTACAGTCATTGCCTGCGGTTTTATTAGTGAACAACATGGCTAAAGGACGTGACTTCTGGGCTTACTGACGATGCTATCTTTTGAACCAGCAGCGGGATAGCGGGGGAACTGGAATAAAGTTATTCGGCTCTTCAAAAAGATTCGCCTCCAAACGCCACACGCGATGAAATGGGAACGAGAAGTCCCGGTCTATCTTACGAATGTATTTTCATAAGCATGAATGCTGCATGTGACAGTGTCTGTATGCAAAAGTGGGGTGTGCACACAAACTTTTGTCACATACCTCTAGCTGTACATCTCGGCAACTTGATCACGAAAGTTAATGAGAAAGGATAAGCAAAAATCAAAAGCAATCGGAAGTCAAGTCACGTAAACGGAGTCCTGGCCATCACAGAGTGGTGTAAAGAGGTAAATGTGTTCCATTCCGCTAAGCTTGCTGTTTGGTAACCAGGAAAGAAACGAGCAGTCACCTTCGTAATTTACCCCGATGTTCCCTCAAGGAATTTCTCGTCGAAGAAAGAAAGAAGAAAGAACTTACCTTGAACCAGAGAGTTCCTGGAACTCCGCTGGCCCGTTGAACCCACCGTACAATTGTACCAGACATCAAGACAGTTACAAAGAAAGGAAGAGAGAACGAGAACCGACCGTAATGATCATATTTGTTATAGAAAGGTAGGCAGATAATTGAGAGTTCGGTTGACACTACTCCTCCATTAACGGATCTAGCAAACCATAACCAAATTAGTCGAACTATGATACAGCTTGGGGGCGGCGAGACACATGACGGCAAAGATGTCTTTGTTACGATCCAATCGTTGAGC